AACAAAACCACAGTTTATGTAAAATAGTTGAGAAATTGATAAATTAATGATTCTCTCCATAGCCGTCAAATAGTATAAATCTGAACAGGGCTGGATCGTCTGCTGTTACTGTACAAGAATTGTGAAGGCTTTTAGACCCTTTGTTGTTCCCTCATTTAATTTAGCCTGTTTCCTAAGGGAAGTTGTTCATAGTTAATTACTTGGATGTTTTATCATTTGGGCAAATGGTATATATTTTCTCTTCCTCAGTCTTTGTCCCCTTCCTCTCCACCCCAAAAGGCAACAGTAAGTATATATTTTTGATAGTTGGGAAAACCTAGTAGACATTCTGCAAGAAGACACTGCCGTTTGCCTAGCTCTTTCTGGATAGATCTATTTTCCTGTATAATATTTGATAAACGAGAGCTCCCCATTACATGATTTTGGAGTTTCCTAAAATCCTATGTTGTAAGTGGCTTAGTGGTAAGGAGTTGTGCAGTTATTACAAAGGCACATGGTTTGAATTCACCAACTGGATAATCTCTTGTGTGATTTACTGCCTCTGAAAACCCACTAGAATGTCAGCTATGAGTCAGTTCCTATTCTGTCGTAAACAACAGCATTAACAAAGTTGTTAGAAGGGGCTAGTCCTTGGAAAAGGACATTATGCTCAGAAAGGTGGAAGATCAGCAGAGGAGCTAAAGAACCTCAACAAGATGAATTGACACAATGACTGTAATGCTGGCCTCACATATGCCAGAGATGATTAAGATGGTACTGAATAGGACATGGTTCAGATCCATTGTTCATAGGGTTGATATTTGAGTCGTACAGCACTTTATAACAGGAAGAGGAATGTTCTGGTGGCCTAGTTGGTATGGAATTGTGCTGTCATACCAAAGGCAGGTGATTTGAATCCACCACCAGCTGCTTTGAAGGGAAAAGATGTACATTTTCTTGTGTAATATTTATAGTCTCTGAAAACCCGCTGCAAGGTCTGGTGGGAGTCTGTTCGAACAGTACAAAACAGCAGGAAGAAAATAAAAACACTTAGTAAAATTTGCTGTTTTTAAGACTCACCTCAATTTCAGATATGTTAAAATGTGAAAAGTACATTTTAGAATTAATGATATATGTTGTTGTTGTTGTTGTTGTTGTTGTTGTTAAATGCGTCGAGTGGCAGGCAACTCATGGCGACCCTATGAAAGAGAGTCCTCAGCCGTTGTGTGTCTTTGATCCTCTCTCCAGGTTTCCGGAGGCAAGCTATTATGGAAGTGGATACCTCTCCTCCTTCCAAGCTTGTTTTGATTGGGGAAGCTCAACCCCACTTTCTGTCCACATTGGGTAACCAACCATTAATGCATTTGACACATCTGTGTCACAGTGTTCAGCCTCACAGCAACCCCAAGTTACAGCTGTACGGCAAGTGGACACACCAGAGTTATACGACCTAGAGCAATGTTTGAACAAAAACAATGAAAGGCAGGCCTGAGGGCTGTGGATTAGGTCACCCACCTTTGGCTTTGTAGCATCGCTTTCTGTCCACTGGGCCAGCTGATCTCTCTCTAATGATATATAGCAATAGTATTAATATGTAGTACAGGGTGGTTCTAAAGATTAAATGGCTTGACATTTATAAACAATTTAGGAGTATGTGGCACATGTTGAGCACTATGTAAATGTCATCTTTTTTAAAGTTTTTATTGTGTTTTGGTGGAAGTTTATAGATGAAATTGGCTTTCCATTCAACTTATAAATGTTTAGTGACATTGCAATATGCACAGTGTATGTAATAGCATTCTTTCCACTGCTTTTCTCTGTTGACTCTTTCTGTTTGGCCTTCTTTCCTATCCCTTCCTGCCTTCCTGCTCTTTATTCCTGAGTAAAAGCTGCCTTTTTGACCTTGTGTGATTGAATGTCCTAAGGAGTACATGCCTCCATGGTGTTATTGTTTACTTTATGTGCCTGTGGTTTGGCTGCAAGCACAGGCAGGGGTGCACATTCAGTTCCAGGCTTGAAGGATGTCTAGAAACTATATTCCTGGGATTCCCACCAATTTCTATCAGAGATTTTACTATCTAGTAAGATATAATATAATATAAATTATAAAATAATATAATAATATTATAAATATAAATATAATTGGCTTTCCATTCAACTTATAAATGTTTAGTGACATTGCAATATGCACAGTGTATGTAATAGCATTCTTTCCACTGCTTTTCTCTGTTGACTCTTTCTGTTTGGCCTTCTTTCCCATCTCCTTCTGAATCCATTTATTAATTTTAGTAAAATTTGAAAAATATTTATTAACCTTGTGACCCCTGTGGTAGAGTTAACCCAGTGGTTAAGTGCTCTGCTGCTAACCAAAAGATTGATGGTGGGAAAACTTGAAGCAGAACCCACTTTTTTAAAACCTTGGAGATCCTGTGCAGCAGTCCTGTGCATTTGAATTAGTAGTAATAGATCTGGTATACTATCATGACAAGTACACATTTATATATGGATATGTACCTATGTTTAAACTTAATGAGAGACAATGTAATGTGCTCCAGAACCAGATTGTTACAATTCTCTCTCTCTCTCTCTTTTTTTTTAAGATTGTTATACAATTCTCATCCTAGCTCTGCCATTTACCCACTGTGTAATATGGACAAAATGAATCTTTTCTCTAAAAATTCGTTTCCTCCTCTCTAAATGAGGAAGACCCTTGATGAGATGGGTTGATTCCATCACTGGGGTAATGGGGATGGGCATGGTGGAGACAATAAGATTGGCAAGGGATAGAGCAGCATTTAGTCCTGTTGTACATCGGGTCTGTACTATGAGTTGTAAGCGACTCAATGGCACATAACAACAACAACAAATGTGGTTGTGTACTGTCAAATCAGAACAGACTTGTAGCTCATCCTCCACTGGATTTTCAGAGGCTTTAAATCACACTGGGGGAGCCTGTTCTTCTCTGTCCCTCAGGGCAGCTGGTGGACTTGAACCATGTGTTTAGGATTGGCAGTGCAACTTCTTACCACTAGATTACCAGGGTTTCTTCCTCTGTAAATTAAAATAATAATTGTACCCTAAAGATGCTTCAGTGTATAAAGCTTTTCGTTGATGATATTGCCATAGATTGTCTTTTAAGGTTTTGTCTCCTTGTTGTTATGGGCTCTTGAGTTGGAACCAACTCCTAGCTAATTTTCCAGAGGATTTGCCTGTTTTCTCTCTTGGAACAGCTGGTGGAGTTGAACCATTTGCCTTTGGAAGTTAGCAGTGCAACTCTTTACCAGTAGGCCACCAGAGCTCTCTTAGGGTTTCTTAGGGCTCTTAAAAACAAAAAAACCAGAACAACAATAACAATAACAAAAGATTAAAAACCACCTACCAACAAAAATCCCATAAAAGAACAAAAACCCCCAAACAATGCCCAAATTCGTTGCCGTTTTGTTGGAACCAACTTATAGCTGACCCTCCAGAAACTGTAAATCACACAAGAGGAAAGAGTGCCCATCTTTCCTCAGAGAGATACAGTCTTTGCCTTAGCAGGGAAGCTTTGTACAAACTCTGCCACTGGAACGTCCTTCCTTTGGGCTGTGTTTCTTAATTGAAATATTAATGGGGGAGATACTTGCAAAAGCACACAGAGTGCAAAGTTAATAACACTAATTCATGATAAAGAGTTCTGCTGCCAACTCAGAGTCAGAACGTTTGACTCCACCAGTTTTTCCATGAGAGAAAATGAGCAATCTTCTCCTCTGCAATTGATTGCCTCTGATGACCCATTGGAGGGTCACCTCTGAGTCACATCTACTGCTTATTTGGGCTTACTGTGTGTAAGATACTCTTCTAAAAACTTTGACGTTGTTGTTGTTAAGTGACGTTGAGTCGCAGGCGACTCATAGCAGCCCTATGAAGAGAGTCCTCGACGGTTGGGTGCCTTTCATCTTCTCTCCAGGTTCATAGGGTTTCCAGAGGCAAGCTATAACGGAATTGGATGCCATTCCTGTTTCCAAGCTTGTTTTAATCAGGGAGCTCCACCCCACTCTCTGACCGCATTGGGTAACCAGCCATTAACACATTTAAATAGTATTATTTAAATGACATCAGTGTCACAGTGTTCAGCCTCACAGCAACCACAAGTGACCTCTGTATGGCAACTTGTACACCAGGGCTATACGACCTAGAGGAATGTCTGAACAAAAACAATGAAAGACAGACCCGAGGGCCGTGGATTAAAAGTCACCCACCTTTGGCTTGGTAGCATCGGTTTCTGTCCACTGGGCCAGCTGATCTTTCTCTCTCTCTCTGTTGATGTTATAAAAACGTTGATACATTTATTTAAACTTAAGAGATAGATTCTCTTACTGTGTGTACAGATGAGGAACCTGAGACAGAGAGGTAAGTAACTTGCCTGTAGTTATGATGTCAATGATAGGATTGAGATTCATATCTTGACAGACTGGTTCTTATCATCTGTACTGTCAGTCACAAATCTTCACAAGGTGTTTTTGTCACAAAGGTGTATTTATTGAGTAGGTCCTTTGATATATATTTTTTTGCAGCCTGTAATTCCAAAATTCAAAAGGTCTCAAAACTTTTCCCAAATTTGATAAAATCTTATTTAGTGGTAAGACCTGACTTCAACTAATATAAGGCTATTTAAAGTATTTTACTCAACCAGCTTACTGTTTAGGATTTTTTTTTCCATTTGCATCCAATTTATTGTGACTGTTCATATGTGCTTTCAGAAATATTAATGTGTTTGATTATGGGATGATAGTCCAAATTCCACTGAGATAAATCTATGGTTTATGCACTACATCATGTTTTTGAAATTAGAACTGGTCTAAATCCTATACACATCTAGCCCAAAGAATTTTAAATAACAGATTGTATACAAGAGATTGTTTTCAGTGTCATGAAAGTAATGTACCTTTAGCTGGTACTCACACAGGACTTGGTCAGCAAAGTTAATTTTCCAAAATGTTTTTCTTTTTTTTAAAAAATCATAATTTTCTTCTTGCTAGAGCTCCTGAAATCATTCTTGGATTGCCATTTTGCGAAGCTATTGATATGTGGTCCCTGGGTTGTGTGATAGCCGAGCTGTTTCTGGGATGGCCTCTTTATCCTGGTGCTTCAGAGTATGATCAGGTAAGAGTGTGCGTTTGAATGAAAGCAGAAGGCATGCAGTTATTAGTGAGAGATTCTAGAGGAAAGGAAATACTAGTGAAGTAGTTAGATTCCAGGGAAAAGAGTTCAGTTACAAAGATTTGAACTCTTTGTAATTGAATACAAAGAATATTAGAATTTGCTTTACCTGCTTCTTCCCTGAGTTATCTTTGCAAGTCTACATTTCGTTTATTTTTCATATTTTTTATTAAATGCCTACTTTGTGCCAGGTAGCATAGTGTATAACATGTTGGACAATTAAACTAAAAGTTCAATGGTTTGAGTCCACCAGCTGCTCGAAGGAAGAAATAATCAATCTCCCTAACAATTCTGACCACAAGTCAGAATCAACTTGACAGTAAGGGGTTTGGGTGGGTTATGCTAAATAGGAACCCTGGTAACACTGTAGTTAAGGCATTTGGCTGCCAGCTGAAGCAGGAGTTTGAAACCTTCAGCCTCCCATAGGAGAATGATGAAGCAATCTTTTTCTGTAAAGATTTACAACCTGGGAAAACCAGTTGACAGTTTTTTTTTGCCTTATAGATTTGCTTGGTTGGAATTGACTCACAGTGGATTGAGTAAAGAAAACATACTTCTGTCTGTGTACATGTATCTTCTGTTTATGTTCTAATTGCCTCTTGGTTAAACACATTTTCCCTGATTGTTACTACCATAGTCAACTGGACAGTCTCCCTTTATCAACTGGTCTCTTTCCAGTCATCTTTTCAAAACAAATTTGAACATGCTAACTTCAGTGGTTACCTGTTGTTTTTATTTTAATACAGTAATCTTTAATATGGCCTCTGTGTCCCTACTGTTTCTATGTTCTGTCTTAGGTTTTCCTCTTTCCCTCTCTGGTTGATCGTATACAATTTTGTCTTGCATTCTGATCCCATTGATATAATTTCAGCACTGGTAAAAGAGATGCTTCCTTTTAGTACAGACCCTTCCTTTCACATATTGCTTACATGGTCAAGAATTTTTTTTCTCTATCACCTACTCCGTTCCTACTTTTATCAGCTCAAGTGTCATTTTCTCTGGGAGCTTTTCCTCACCAGCTGTAGTCTAGGTCAGGTATAAGTTATTATCTCATTATAGTCTAGTCGGACTGACTCACAGCTGACCCTCCAGCAGGTTTCTAGAGTCTATAAAATCACACAGAAGGAGATTGTCCATCTTTCTCTCATGGAGCAGCTGATGGAGTACACTGCCTTTGGGTTGGTAGCACAACTCTACCCACTATGCTGCAAGAGCTCTCTCAGGTATAGGTGGTCCCTGACTTACGATGACTCCATTATAAATTAGTTTAGATGGGAGTCATTTTTTTTTCCAGTTTATTGTCTTTGTCAATTAGATCTTTATCTATCTTTGGGTATTGTCCGGAAAGTTATAATATCAGCATATTGCTGCAGGATTATATGTAATATATTGTATGTAATAACTAATGATAAGATGTACAGAAAAATTAAAAAACAGATGATCATAAAGGAAATTTGTTGTAATTCCCATACACTGTAAAACATGACTGCCTCGCTTTTTTTTTTTCACATGAATAGAATTTTATTGCAAGACTCAGATGTATCTTAGGACCCATCCAGCTTCATTTCTGTAGCTTGAAAACTCCTAGCTATTACTCATAAGCCTGCTGAACAGTTCCTTTTTTGGAGACATAGATAACATCCAAAAATTTTCAGATATCCTTGTTGTTTTTAACTGTTGTAGCTTGCTGAATCAAAGCAGCTGAATTTGATATAAGTTCAATGTCATTTCCTTCAAGAATTAACTCATTTTTCTGGGCTTCAGACACTGAACAAGCAACACCTCGTCTCATTCGAACTCTCCAAATGTATTTTTCACCCAAGAAGTTTCTAATTTCAAGCAGAGATCCATTCTCCTGAATCACAACATTAATTGGGAAATAAGCATACACAGACCTCGTCTTGTGATGAAAGCCCAGTGTAACACCCTTGATCATGTTCTGTCATTTCCTTCCTATTTTCCCACCATTTGTCACACGAAGCCTCTTCTTTTTCTTTCCAAGGAGACTGAGCTCTATGATGATGTAGTTGAAGTCCCTGTGCAAGGTTCCCTGCGGCCCTTTCATGGTAACTATGCAGCCCTTCAGAGTAATGTCGACATTATCTGGAATGTTGACAATCTGGTTGCTGAGAATGGTCTTCATTCTCGCAGTAAATGTGTCAAAGAGGAGGACTGCCTCTGTTTTTATAAACCCATGGCTGTGAGTCAAGTCCAGTGATGGCGCTGTAGGATAGCATAGAACTGCCCATGGGATTGCCAAGGCTGTAAATCATTACAGAAGCTGACCGCCACAGTCATCTCTTATGGAGTGAAGTGGCTGTTGGATTTAAACCACTGATATTTTGTTTAGCATCCAGGTATTGACCACCACACCATCAGGACTCCTTTATGTATTTATATAAGCCTATTCGATTTTTACCCCCCAAGTCCCAACTTGTTTGAACTGTGCATTCAGTGTCTGTCTTCCACATTAGACAGACAGCTCAGTAAGTGCAGGAACCATTTCTGTTATTAAGATTATTACTGCCTAGCTCAAACTTATTAAAAGAATGAATAAATTTGTACTACATAAAGCCATGTTCTATGTAAGCATGTGGATATAGAGAAGTATATATGCTTTATTTTATCAACCTAAGACACCTTATAAAAGTGCACAACTTCTTCATACTTCTAAGAAAGAATGAATACTGCCAATTAACTAAGATAAGGTATTAACTCTAAGTCATATCCTGATTTAAAAAGTTGTTAATGTGAAAAAAATGACACTTATTTGACAAGCACTGTGGCAATTGGACAATTAAAACAGACATGGGGGGGGAAAGAAGAACGAACTGGGGATGAGGGTGGAGAAAACAGTGCAACAATGAATGAATGAAACCCAAAATCTCTGTAAATGTTCATTAAAACTAATAAAATTTAATAAAAAAAATAAAAACAATACAAACCCCCCCCCCCAAAAAAAAGAAAAAAATGACACTTAGAATAAATGACCTCTTATATTCTTCAGCCCATTGTTAGAATCACTGTGTCAGTTGATCTTGTTGAGGGCCTTCTCTTTCTTTGAACCTCTCCCTTTCCTAGCAGGATGTGTTTTCCCAAGGACTAGACCCTCCTGCCCCCTGATAACATGCCCAAAATATGTGAAAGGAAATGTCACCATCTTTGCCTTTAAGGAGCACCTTGGTTGTACTCCCTTTAGGACAGACTTGTTTGTTCTTTTGGTGGTTCCTGGGATATCGAAACTCTTCACTACCATAACTCAAAAACATACATTCTTCTTCCGTCATCCTTATTTGTTGTGCAACTTTCAGATGTATAAGAAGCAATTGATATTAAAGACAAAGCTGTGCATTTGTCAGGCACACCATAGTCTTTAATATTGTTGCTTTGTAGCACTCTGGGAGATATTATTGTTTTATAGTACTCTGGAAATTGACAGCAGATTTTTCTTTTCCCAGTGTAACTGTCATTTGATGACTGCAAGGGTATTAATTGTATAGATTCAAGTACAATGAAATCATTGACAACTTCAGTCTTCTCCATCTATCACAATGCTGCCTGCCTATTGATCCAGTGGTGTGAGAATTTTTGTTTTGCACGATGAGATGTAATTCACTGTAGACTAAGAAAACCCACAGGAGGGTCAACTATAATTTGATTCTGGCTCTGTGGCAATGAGTTTGAGTAGTTTACAGATTTTACCTTGGATTTTAAAAAATATTTTATACCTTTTTGTATGCAAAAGAAGTTCATGTTTAAAAATGTCATTTTGACCTTTTTGAATTGCCTATTTCCTGTTGCTTTATTTTAGGGGGAGCTCTTGTGGCCTCGTGACAAGAAACTGTGCTGCAATTCCAGCTCTGTAGGGAGAAGGATGGACAATTCCTTACCACTAAACCACCAGAGCTCTCCCTCTTTTAATATCATAGATTCCCTGAACGTAAGAGCCTCCAGGGATTCTTAAACGATACTTACTAAATTGATGTTTTATTGCATAGTAGGTTTTCAGTGAATGTTGACTGAATTAACATGATACCATCCCCTACTGATGGGAGTGGGATAGGGAACTAGAAAATTTAAGCAGTTTAGTGAAGGTGAAATTGATAGGAATTAGGGTACCAAAGAAGAACCATTTGGAGGAAATTATTTCCTAATATTTTATAATTTGGTAAACAAGCAAGGAAAATATTTTAGTGGTCAATAAAAATATTTTATTGTAAAGTATTCTGTTCTATATTGGAAATCTTCAGTTTTTTGAACTTTGTACCAGAAGTCTACAAAGAAGCAAAAAGTCCCTGCAAAATCCTCTAAAATGACTATCTGCTATGTCCTTGTAAATAGCAGATAAAATAAGAAGGAAGCTACTGCATAGCTATTTGAGAATTACTTATGGGTAGGTTAGCATATTTGTATATATATTTACAGATGACTTTCAGTTGTATTGCTTAAATAATTTCTTTACAGTACTTTAATCCTTTTTATCTAGAGGTAATAATGTTTTAATATAAGTCTTTAATGATTTCCCTTCAAACTGATGTGTTGATGGTTTTGATGTTTCAGATTCGTTACATTTCACAAACTCAAGGCCTGCCAGCTGAATATCTTCTCAGTGCTGGGACAAAAACGACCAGGTTTTTCAATAGAGATCCTAATTTGGGATACCCGCTGTGGAGACTAAAGGTTTGTTTATAAATATACTATCCATTCTTGCAATCACCCATTTCCCCTTTGTGTTCAAAGTTTGGTTATTTAACTCTTGGGAAGGGTAAGGGAAGAGGACAGAGGAGGGACATTTATATGTGGGAGAAAATGCTTTCTAAATTATCTCATCCTGTTGGACTTTATTCTTAATTTTTTAAAAACAAAGCATTAGGTGCCACTTGACTCTAGTATTTTTGTGTGTTTCTTTTGTTGAGCAACTTGAGGAGGAGGTGTAGAGAATAGAACCATTAAATGTGATAAAGGGCTAAAGTAATTTAGTAATGACTACTTTTTGAGAATTCTCAATAACATGACAAAACTTAACATGTTTTCCTAACAGCCCACTTTAATGCTTTATAGGTTTTCTTGCATTGAGTATTTGCTTTTTTATTTCTGATCTTGCTCCTCTAACTTGAGAAATCTCAGGGTAATTTGATAACCCTGTGGCCCTCTACCTTCTGAGCCTTTGAACAATTAGCATTTTAAATAGCAGCTCATTTGAAAATAGTTTAAGAGGAAAATGGTAATGTTGCTTCTGCAGGAACAATACTATATCATTTTGTTGCATGCTTATCACTTAAAAGGGTGGCCAGATTATCAAGGCCATGTTTCTCTATTAGAGGTTTTTCTGGTTGTAAATTAAATTTGCTTGCCTATAGTTGACAGGGTGACAAGACTTGTTTCTTTGCATTCTGATTTTAATTTAAAGTCAAATGTGAAAATAATATACAGACAGAATTTTTAAAAATTATGTTTTATAGACACCCGAAGAACATGAATTGGAGACTGGAATAAAATCCAAAGAAGCTCGGAAGTACATTTTTAACTGTTTAGATGACATGGCTCAGGTGAGCACAGAAAGTTTCTGAAATCCAGACATGTCTCTGTTTAATCCATGATATACTTCCATTGGCTATACTAACCGAAAATTTAATCTGCTATCTTTGATTAAATAATTTCTTTATTTATATTCCCCTATTTTTTGCAGGAAAAACCTCAAAACATAAATATCCTGCATGTATTAAAAGCATGTACTCTGGTGGCCTAGTGGTGGGGACTTGTGCTGCAAACCCAGAGGCAGGTGGTTCAAATCTACCAGCTGTTCCACAGGAGAAAGATGGGCAATCTCCTGTGTCATTTATAGCCTCTGAAAACCCTCTAGAGGGTCAGCTATCAGTAGAGTCTGCCTTGATCACTTTGAGTTTAAGTATAAAAAGAACATTTTAAATGCTAACAAAACTACTTTTCAACTTGCTATTTTTTGCTTACCTGATCTTCTTTGTGTCGGTATGAATATTTTGAAATCTTTTTTATGTAAGATTCTTCTTTCTCATTTTTTTCTTACTAAATAAGTACTTAAAATAAGACCTAATATTTCACCAAAGAAGACATTCAGATGGCCAGCAAACACATGAAAAAATGTTCAAAATCCCTAGCTCTAAGAGAGATGCAAATCAAAACAACTATTAGATATCATTTCACCCCAGTAAGAATAGCAAAATTCAACAGAGCAGCAAGCAACAAATGTTGTCGAGGTTGTAGAGAAACTGGAACCCTTATTCACTGTTGGTGGAAGTGTAAAATGGTGCAACCACTATGGAAGGCAGTATGGCACTTTCTTAAAAAGTTGAAAATAGAAATACTATTTGATCCAGCAATTCCACTACTGGGAATCTACCCTAAAGAAACCAGAACTGCCACCCAGTCAGCATACGCACATGCATGTTTATTGTGGCTTTGTTCACAATAGCAAAAGAGTTGGAAACAACCTTAGTGCCTATTAACAAATGAATGGCTAGAGAAGCTCTGGTATATTCACACAATGTAATACTCTGCTGCATTGAAAAACAAAAACCTCATGATATTTATACAAAATGCGTGATACTGGAGGACATTATGCTGAGTGAAATATCTCAGTCACAAAAGGACAAATACTGCATAGTGCCACTGTTGTAAAATGGGACTGACATTGAGGTTGAGGGGAACCTAAGAAGAGAGGGGGTAAATAATGTATACTGCCTTGAAACAGTGAGGGAGATAACGGTTTAAAAGAAATAGGAGTGGCGTCCACTTCGGTAATAGCTTGCCTCTGGAAACCCTATGAATCTGGAAAAAGGATGAAAGTTATACAGGTGTCCAGGTCTTTTGTTTATAGGGTCGCTATGAGTCACCTATGGCTCGATGGCCCTTAACAAACAACAACAACAACAACATATGATTAGGTATTATTTTCATGACAGGAATCCAGAATAAGAGCTGCATAGCAAAGTGGACTTGGGGGAGGGGATTGTATAACAATGAAAGAGTTTTTTCTTTTCAAAGAGAAAAGTGAACTGGGAGAGGGGTGGGTAGGGAGGAAAATGTGCAACAATGTATGAATGGAAGTCCAAAGTCTCTGTAAAGTTTTGTTTTTAAAAAAACAACATAAGATTGAGTTTTTTTAAGGGCTTAGTATATTTATAAACACCTTAAATTTACTGTCATTTAATCTTTTACTTTAATATTTAAGTACTAATAGTTTTGTTTAATTTACTTGCTTCCAGATATTGAATGGAAAAGAATGTATTTGGCTTTATTCTGCATTTTGGGTAAAAAGTTTAATTATGCAGAATAGGAACACTAAAAATTAATATACTTTAGTAAAAAGTATTTCCTTAGGTTTCTCTTAATCACTGTATAGAGAGGAAGACAGTCATTTTATGTCAGCATTGAAATTTAAGGAATATTTCTCAATTTTTTTTGGAAAGGTGAACATGTCTACAGACTTGGAAGGAACAGACATGTTGGCAGAGAAGGCAGATCGAAGAGAATACATTGATCTTTTAAAAAAAATGCTGACAATTGATGCAGATAAGAGAATTACTCCACTGAAAACTCTTAACCATCAGTTTGTGACAATGACTCACCTTCTGGATTTTCCACATAGCAATCAGTGAGTATAATATTTTATCATGGCATATAGTCGTGATGTGGTTCTCAGTTGGGATAGGATTTTCTTGGGAAATGCAGTGTTTGTATATTTGGCTCATTGATGCTTTTCCTTCTTGTGAAGGGATGAGGATGTGCAGGGGGAGTGGGACATTAACCATGGAGTTGTACAACTTGATGGGTGGAAGGGGTGAGGGAAATTCGAAGAATCTATTCTGAAAAACCGATAAACTAGTATTTTTAAAAAGTAATCCTTATTGAAAAAATTCTTTTTTTTCCTCTTTGTGATTATATAAAAATTCTTAATTTTAAAAAAAAAATTTTTTTCTTAAGTACTTTTATCTCAGAAGTACTTAGGAAACAAAAAAATACTTTGATGGATGTATATCATGAATTATTTGTCAAATTTTCAGAAATCTAGCCTTCATTTCAGTGTCTTTTTAATTTCCTTTTCAGTGTTAAATCTTGTTTCCAAAACATGGAGATCTGCAAGCGGAGGGTTCACATGTATGATACAGTGAGTCAGATCAAGAGTCCTTTCACTACACATGTTGCCCCCAATACAAGCACAAATCTAACCATGAGCTTCAGCAATCAGCTCAATACAGTGCACAATCAGGTATTCATTGAATAAATGTTTTTGGTCATTTGAAGCTAAGTGGGTTAGCATGAAAAAAGCTAACAGAGTACAGTATGAGATAAGCCAATGTTTTGCTTTGGTGTTTTTGTTGCTTCTGAAGAGTTTTCTATTTGTAAAAGTAATGGAAAGCCAGGGTAGACTATGATAGATGTTATGAGAGCTCATTAGTACCTGCCACTCAGAAGCTGATAAAGAGAAGTAGAGAAGCCAGCTATGTCCTCATAGTCTTAACAGTAAATGAATGGAACCTGACTATTGTACTGCTGTTAGTTGTACTGTCTTTAGACAGATGGTACTCTTTTCTCTTTGTTAAGAGAAAGATTTTCTGTTATATTACATGTGTTGGAAGAATGTTTCCAGTAATTAATTATAAGAGTAATTTTACATTTGTTTACTAATCAGAGATATTTACAGTTTGTTTCTGAAAATGTAAACGTCTCAGTTTTGTACTTCAGTCTTTAAAAATGATAAATATATGAGATTTGATGAGATCTAACATTCAGTAACTTTTATTCACAGAAAAAAGAGGTTGGGATTTATACAATCTAACTAATCCAGGCTAATTTCTTGTTCTTTGCTTGCTTTTTTGATCTTACAATATGTCTTTAGTTTAGAGTTTGGCAAGTCTTAAATTTCTTAACTGGAGAATTAGTTCAGAGAGAGCTAACATACTTTTAAACTGTTTTAAGATTTACTGGATAGCATATTTATGTGACAATATTGTTATTTCCAATGTAGACCAGTATACAAGTATAAGCTTTTTGTTTTCAGGCCAGCGTTTTAGCTTCCAGTTCTACTGCAGCAGCTGCCACACTTTCCTTGGCCAATTCAGATGTCTCCCTGCTCAACTACCAGTCTACTTTGTATCCATCGTCTGCAGCACCAGTTCCTGGAGTTGCCCAGCAAGGTGTTTCCTTGCAGCCTGGAACGACCCAGATTTGCACTCAGACAGATCCATTCCAACAAACTTTCATAGTTTGTCCCCCTGCTTTTCAAAGTAAGTAGGGGAAATGCCTGTATTATGTAATATTTTATCCGATTTACCTACTTTAGGCAGATCCTTATTGTATGTAGCTATGATGCTCATTAGAGGAAAAGATGGTAAAACTTCATCTCACAAACTTTAGGCATGTTGTTAGGAAGGGCCAGTCCTTGGAGGAAGACATCATCTTTGGAAGAATGGAGGGTTGGTGGAAGAGGGTAAGACTTCAACGAGATGGAGTGACATAATGACTGACACAATGGGCTTTCATGTGGCAGAGATGATGAGGATGCCACAGGATAGGGCAAGGTTATGATCTGATCTGATATTTGTAGGATCCTTATGAGTCATGCTTGACTTGACCACACCTAACAACGTTTTAGTCTTTATCTTTGTCAAATTGAAATTCCATCTCTAATAATGAAAGTAACTGAGATCTCCCTATTTCACAATTGATTACCTAACTAATTATAAGGGAGCTCTGCTGGTCTAGTGGCAGAAAGCTGCCCTGCAATCCCAAAGGCACATGGTTCAAGGCCACCAGCTACTCTGTGGGAGAAGAAGGGGCAGTATTCTCTCCTGCGATGAACTGCCTCTGAAAACCTACCAGTGGGTCAGCTATAGATCAATTCTGACTCTGCAATACACAACTACAACAATATCTAAGTATAATGCCCTCTAATTAATACTCCCTTAACTAAACTGCCTAATAAAAATTTTCTTGCTCATTAAGGCCTTGTTGTACCAATGTCATATATCTTCTGTCTGTCAGGATATCATGTCATATATCCTGAAAAAAATTAGATTTAAGTAAAATTTAGAAGTTAAATTATATATGGAATATTTTCTCTTATTATTCTGTTTAAAATAAGAATTTGTGTTTTAAATAAAAGACTTTATCCTAAAATATAAATATCATACTTAAGGATATAGAAATCTCTTAAATCACATTCAGAGAAATAAAGTTCATTCCACCAGTTAAAATGTTTGTAAGGGGAAGGCATTAGGATTATCTGCTTCAGTTTATGAAACATACTGTTTCTGCAAATTAGAATCAGCAGAGGAACAAAATAGCTGGGAAGGACAGTTCCATCTTGAGGTGTTAGAATAAGGTTTTAATTTTCACATTTCTATCATTCCTTATTTTCTCTTTGTTATACTATAAGCCAGCCTCTCCTTTTCCCTTTTTTAAATGCAGTATGGGAAATCTGTATTTATTGATCTGGTGAACCATTAAAAAGGTAAAATTTTGTTAAAGAAAATTCCTAAAGACACACTTTACTTCTGCAATAGAAAGTCAGTGTCAGAGGCGCTCTCTGGTGGCCTAGTGGCAAGAAGCTGCACTGCGATGCCAGAAGTACACGGTTTGAATCCACCAGATTCTCTGCTGGAGAAGGAGGAGCAATCTCCTCCTGTACCAGTCAAATCTGATTTGACGGTACACACACACACACACACACACACACAAAATTTAAAAAAAAAGAGAGAGAGAAAGTCGGTGTCAGTACCTACCTGTAGGACTAAACCAGGATTCAGGCTTCTCATAGATAGTACTTTATATGGGAGCTCTAGTGGCTGAGTGGCAAGGAATTATGCTGGGAGAGTGAAAGGTACATGGTTAGAATCCATCACCTGCTCCATGGGAGAAAGATGGGCATTCTCCTACCGTGTGATTAACTGCCTCTGAAAACCCACCTGAGGGTCAGCTATGGTTCTGACTCGACGGTATACAGCAACTATAGTGTAGTAGTTTATGAAGAAGTGGAGTATCATTTTTAGAATTTTTTTTACTTCAGTTACTTATTGTGACTCTTCTCTTTGTTTGGTTTCTGACAGACTTGGAGCAAGCAGAAGGAAAAGAGGGGCTAGGGGAAACGGAAAGATTACCGGGAGGACAGGACAGCAATAGCGATGTAAACCAGGGAGAAACCCCGGGGAGAGCGGAGGAGCAGATTCAAAACCTGTAAATGCAAATTTAGCCTAACTTAAGAAGTTATTTTCTGCATAGTTCATAATAGTAAATTCTATACTTTCGTTTATTGTGTATTGACTTATGTGTCTGTTAAACTTAGTAAACAAGTTTTTTTTTCATACCCTTTCCCAAAATATTTCACTGGGAGTTTCACTGTGACAATTTTCAGATGTAGAACTCTGAAGTTTTCTGCTTCTTCTTAGATAATACTTAGAAATGGAGCAGAAGAGCTTTTGAGTTCATTTAACAAAACAGGAAATAAACTGAAGAAGGTAGGGAGTAGGATATTCCTTTTTTGTTATAATTAGGTAAATATAAACTCCAGAAAAAGCTTTTCCTAGCTAGGTTGTCTAAATAACTGAGGAACTATATCAAGGAACATTTAAAATTTCTGATTATAAAGGGTTTTAAAATTAACACCATGATGCTTCCCCACATGCGTTACCCTACACCACACACTGTTCTAAGAGCTTTACATGCATTAACACATGTTAGAAACCCTAAGGGGTAAACAAGACTATCCAATTTATGAATGAGAAAATTGTATGCATTGCTTTCATCTGTCCAGAATGAGAGGAGTAAGTGGCAGAATCACAATTTTAACCCAGGCACGGAGTCTACCGTTTCTGTGGTTTTTCTTTTTGTTCTTAATGAACATCACAGTAACTATTTACTCTTGAGTCAATTCTGACTCATGGTGATCCGTTATGTACAACTGTGCTACATAGGATTTTATTTATTTATTACTGATCGTTTATTGTGATTTGAATGAAAGATTACAGAACATATTAATTTTCAGTTCAACAGTTTATCTTTTACATTTTATTCTGTAGTCTCTTACTGTTCAGTCTCCAGTGACTACAAAGAGTTTTTCAGGAGCTTTGCCAGCCACAACCATATGCTGGTTTCTACCCCAGCGTCCTTTATTCTGGGTTGCTCACTTTTCCTTGACCATCTGCTCTTTTATAAAATGTCTGTATACTTAGAAGAGGATAAGCTTTCCTCAGTGAGACTTTTTAATTTCTTTTCATACTTCCAAAGTTTTTTCTTTTTAAATTGTAATAAAATATACACAACAAAACATTTTCTGTTTCAACCATTCTTAAGTATACAATTCAGTAACTTGAATTACATTCACCATATGTCTTGGCAAATAAAACCCCCAAACCAAAACTAATTCTTAGTGCAGAGTAATGGGGAAACCTTCCAAAATTATTACCTTTTGTTAATTGTCTATTTCAACATGTTCCGTGAAGATGCTAGTTTTTTAAACGGGTTTGATTTCTGTGATTTAGCCCAAATTATAGCTATTTAATCCTTGCTAAAGGATATATTTGTTGGTCAGTACTGTGAATATTCCGGAGACCTTATAGTGTTGTGGTCAAGTGCTTAGCTGCTAACTAGTAAGTAGGTCAGCAGTTTGGACCCACCGGCCACTCAATGGGAGAAAACGGAGGCAGTCTGCTTTTGTAAAGATTCACAGCCTTAGAAACCTTATGGAACACTTAGTTCTGCTTTGCCCTGAGGGGTTGCTGTGAGTCAGAATCAACCTGAGAGCAATGAGTTTACTATGAATACTCCTTTCCAAGTGATTGAGGGGAGGAGGATGAGAAGGAGAGGAGCAATATAGAGTTAGCAGTATAATCCATGGGTTGGAGTTGGAAGAGAAACAGAGATGAAAGTTGGGAAATGGGCACTTTCCTGAAATGGATCTATGACAGAACAGTTGCAGGAGAGTGGTAATGTTGGCATAAAAAAGGCAGTGCCCCAAACTTAAAATGTTCTTGCCTAAGTCTGCCAGAGTGCTCTGTGACAGCTGAGTAGGTTAGACATTAATTCATGTTTGCCTCATTTTACAAAGACAGAACATTGGATTGATCCTTAAGTGACTCTAGGTAAAGATGAGCTTTTCACTGAACATTTTTTAACACTTGTCAACATTTTTGAAATATCGGTGTTTGCTGCATACATATTCACCAAAAAGTTCAGAAAATAAAAATACTACTTCACTATTTCCGTTGACTGGAATAAATACACATTTTATTTCATGGGAATGATTTATAATTTTATGTCTTTAGTTCATCATTCTCAAATCCATTAATGAGATTCCATAGTGATCATTACATTGCTTCCTCCAATTTCTTATTTCAAGACTGACATTGTCTTGTAGTTAGCCATGTGTCCTGGGAATATAAATTAAAATTTTGATGTTATTTAGTTTTCTTATTAGATAATAGAGTATATATTAGAATGGCAATCTTGATATACCCACCTTTAAATACAAGAAGCCTATTTTTAAAAGTTATCTTTAGAATGTTTCAGTTTGGAGCTCAATAGTTCTAATTTTGTACATTTTTGGGTTATGTTTTCCTTTATGACAACTTGTAAATGACTGAAGTGGAAAATTGGAAGACTGGAAGAAAAAGAAATAACTTAAATTTACATGTCACTTCCATAACAATATTAGATAAATTAGTTGATGATAGACTAGGAAATGCCATTTGGAATCATATATTTAAAATGATCATGTCCTCACTTAATGAAATTGTAGAGGTTAGTGAATTGGAGGCATAATAGAAACTTGAAATTCTCTGTGTTGAGAGCCTGAGCCCTACTTTTTCCAGGATGAGATATTCTTACTTGTAGGAAACATTTATTCAGCATTTGTGCCCAGAACATAATGGCTGAAATGACAAAACATAAGTCATGGACGAGTGACCCTGACATCACAAGTATTTTATGAAAACATTTTTATTAAAAATTTGGTTTTGCCGTGGCAGCAAAGAGTTCCTGATAGCTATGCAGTAGCCACAAAGGAACGTTATTAGAAACCTGGTGATGGCAAGAATTGATTTTGAAAATAGAAAGTGTTAAAAAAAAAAATAGAAAGTGTTTGTTGTTTTGGTGGTTTGTTTTTTTAAAAGTATTACATTTTTAATTACTTTTGGCAGATTTTTTTTTTCAGTTTGTGTACTGGTTAAAATGAAAATAACTATTTTGAGCTGAGATATGTTATGAGAAGTAGGGAAAAATATCCATAAAACATTTTAAACAAAAGAATAAGTTAGATTATAGATTATTGAGCTTTTTATGGTCTTATCTAGTTAACCAAAAGTTATATTTAAGATTTTGCTTCTAATAGTTTACAGTTTAAAAAACACTTTTACCCTCCCCTCAAACTCCCCTTACCTCCCATAGATTTTGTAAATGTAGTTTAGTAAGTGGGTTTTTTGTTTTATTTTCTTGGGATGAGTGTTATATTTTAAGTTTGACTGGATTAAAAATTTTTTTTAAAAACCAGCCTACCACCCTTCCACCCCATACCATATCACACATCTATAAGGGAATCTCTCTTTTCTTAACGTCTAAGACTTTTATGAGACTTTCTGTTTTGAGGCATAGGACTAAAAACCTCAGTAGATTATTAGAGCAGAAAAGCTACAAATAAGCATAAACCTACATAAACAGTAGCTACAGATACAGCAGAGTAGTTTATCTCTGATGTTGTTTTCAGCAGCTGGACTACAAGCAACAACAAAGCACTCTGGATTCCCTGTGAGGATGGATAATGCTGTGCCACTTGTGCCCCAGGCGCCGGCAGCTCAGCCGCTGCAGATTCAGTCAGGAGTCCTCACACAGGTAAAAGCCAGAGCAGTTGGGATACTCAGTACTGTTGTGAATCAGATATTTTGTCCTAGCAAATGCTGTTTGCTTTAACTAAAAGATCTTTCTTGGTCATGATTCAGAGGGCTCAGAAAATGAAACATCTATATGGATCAATATGCTTATTCCAAAAACTGGCAGCTCTGCCAATGTCTTCATTAGACTTGATGGGACATTAAGAATTTGTCATCTGAATAAGTTCACTCCAGTTTTGAGGGTTGAAATGAATGTTTTACCTTGGAACTCTAAAAGGTATAACATACACATATAAGCTATTTGATTTCAAAATTGGAAAGTTCCCCTCTTGTTCATTGAGAGGCCCTGTTGCTTACTTGGAGCATTTGTTCATTGTTGAGAGGCCGGATCACATCAGGATGCCTCTTCAAGTATTGCATGCTTTCACTCTGTGTAATCAGGCTCCAGACAGCTTCAAAATGTTGTTCTTTATGTGGAATACAAAACAAAGATGATCAAGAAAATCATAAACTTTTTAGAAGTGATAAACCATTTTATTTTAAGTTCTATGTGTAAATATTGCTTATGACACACAGAAATCTCAAAAAAATTATTAACTTACTGAGGAAGAGGAATGCTTTTTGATTGATGCCTTTGTTAACTGACTTTTGTAGAATGAATCTTTTGAATCTGGCCAGGAAAGATTTCTGTATTTGCTCTAGGTTATTGACATTTGACCTAGTGGGTGAATGCTGTGCAGATTGAATGGGAAGGCTGTTTTAGGTACATACATTTAGGTGATATGAAATTACTGTTTATGTCGATGATAACTTGGGGGGAATGAGAACCCTTCTGAATCCAGATAACGTGCCTCCGTGTTTGTTTCACTCACCTGCCTAATCTACGTTTCAGGGAAGCTGTACACCACTAATGGTAGCAACTCTCCACCCTCAAGTAGCCACCATCACACCGCAGTATGCGGTGCCCTTTACTCTGAGCTGCGCAGCCGGCCGGCCGGCGCTGGTTGAACAGACTGCCGCTGTACTGGTAATTCCCCTCACTTGATTGTGTTACTAACGGAGTTTCTTTGGTTTCTTTCTTTTTTTTTTTTCCTGTTTGTTTTTGTTCTGTTTTCTTCTGGTTTTTCTCATTATTAAAAAGAAAAAAAATTTTTTTAACTTAGACTTTGCAGAGGGCATGGAAGCATGTGCCATCTTGTGGCTGTGTTCTCGCTACATCTTTAATGTTTCATTGTTTCCTCCCCAACGTTTGCTGAAGCACTATTTGACTCTGATGTTCAGTGTAAAGAGCCAGATCCCTTGATTCTTCTTTGCCAGCTTAGTATGGTAAAAGCTCTTGATGTAACCTCAGAAGAGCTTCAACACTTATCTGCTTTCTGCCTTATCTTTCCCCCTCTGATCTTGAGAATGAAGAAAATAGCCTTTAAGCTTGGCTCTGCTACAGGTCCCTGGGTGGCCAAAATTTCTGACTCCTTGGCAAATTAGCTTCCTTCTTTATTTTGGTCCTTTAAGCTTTTAAAACTTCAGTGCATGTAGAAATGCTTAGAATGCTCTTAATTTATGGCTTTATTAGTTGATACTAACTTTCCTTCTCTGAACACATGAAGATAGCTCTTTTTGTCCGTCATGATTATTGGCGGCTTATAGACATTGAAAAATATCCCCTTTGGAATATCTTAAGATCATAATTCATTTTTTAGTTGTCATTAAAAGTGAGTTAGTGTTGAGGGTTCTATGGAGAAGTTATTTTACAAATAGATCTTTGTACAAATGTGAAAATATGACCAACATACTTTATGCAATTATTATACTTTTGTTATTAAAAACCATGGGGAAAAATTACTGACTACAGTGACAAATATAATTATATGAGTCTTGAAGATAGGAAAACAAATAAGCAGGGCTTTGAGTTGTATTATAGGATTAGTCACCTTAATAGTGATTTTTAGATGTCTTTTGGTATATTTGGGGGCGTTAGAATTGCTTATTGGAGATCTAGTATTTCATTACTTGAAATTTCAAAAATTAGGTGAGCATTGTTTGAATCCTGTTATTCTTACATCTTTAAAGGTAACTTTAAATATGTCTCTGATTGTTTCCAACAACTCATGTGAGTGAAAACACTTCCAGAAACATACTTGGGCTGTTGGGATTTGCTCTGTTTTCAGTTGAAAGTTTCTAGTACTTCCCAATTAATTATAAACATAAAACATGAGTGCAAGGGAGTCAGATATATTTCCCAGCGTTGATTGACCCGGGCCTTACTCACCTGTTGGCTTCAAGGTTGGGAATGTTAGTTGACACTTCTCTTTTTGCTGCTTCTCCTAAGTTTGCATTAGCCATTTGCTAAGCTTTGCATATTTTTGTCCTTTCCTCTGTCAAAACAGTTCGTCGCTTGGAACGCCAGATTTCTGCCTCACGTTGGAATGTTATTTCTTGCTCTGTATTAAACTACATGCTTTGTCTTGTGCAGGTGTTGGCTTATGGAAAGACGCATGGTGTGACTTAACATATTTCTCTTATTTTTTGTTTTGTTTTGTTTTGTTTTAAATTCTGCTTATGGTAGCAGACGTGTTTGCAGTTTCTCTGCTTTGAAGGCTTCTTGTTTGGAACCGGTATTTGTAACAAGTGGATCTGTTACTTGCAGAAATATTTTTAAAACAGTGTGTGTTGGTGGTTTTGCAGTTCAAAATTCAAGAAACAGAACCATATGCACTCAAGCATTGTAGGTATTTGTATTGCAGAGATTCAAGTTTAAAAAGGAAATTTTCAAATCTGTTCCCATTTTCTCTGAAAATGCCAGAATTTCTGAGTAGGAAGTACAGAAAATACATTTTTGCTCGGTCTATTCTGAGTGATATGACTTATTAAAAATAAAAAATTATGCCTTTTGCTTATCATGTGCTTTTATGGTTAAGTCTGTTTTTAGAACTTAGAACAAATATATCTCAGGTAAATATTAAAAACAAAATAGGACACACTTTAAATCTATTATTTAAATATTATACTAATTGCCTTATTTTAAAATTCTGCCGTATGGCTGTAATTGATGAAGTTAGCTTTTTCTTGCTAGCATAAATTTGCCTGCCAAAGTATTTTGGCCTTTGGTCATCCACATCTGGCTCCACTTTCTACATACTACGGTTTTAAAAATGTGGACAATTCTACCCTTTGTTATATGGATGAATTGACCTGACATCTTATCTGATTGGGACTCAAATTTTAAAATTCTTGTTTTTTAATCTCAAGGAAGTTCTCTACACTCTTTCTAGGAGTATGTATTAAAATCTTTGTTAAAATGGTCCTCCAGTTTAACCATAGTCTGCTTCTGAACTTTCAGATTCTTTTCCTCTGTAGTATATATAATAGAAACTCTTACCACAGGGGTCTTCTTTCCTTTAATCCCCTGATGGTCAGGTTATGGGAGGTGGCCAAGAGAAAGCAGTGTATGTATTCCTTTCCTATTGACAAGATTTGTAGCCTTGAGCCCCTCTGACCTTTCTTTTTTAATCTCTGCAAGTTAACAATCTACAAGCAACTTCTCTTAAGATAAAAATTTTTCTTTCATCTAAAAAACAAAAGAAAAAGCCAAAAGTGAGTCAAGTGTTGGGTGTCTTTGTTTGTGTTTTCTTACAGCAAGCTTGGCCTGGAGGAACTCAGCAAATTCTCCTGCCTTCAACTTGGCAACAGTTGCCCGGGGTAGCTCTCCACAACTCTGTCCAGCCCACAGCAGTGATTCCAGAGGCCATGGGGAGTGGCCAGCAGCTAGCTGACTGGAGGCAAGTCCTTTGTGTTCTTCTATGGGATACCTGTAAGGGCATGTCCCTCGAGGTGGGAACATGGGGTGATACATTGGGAAGGAAGGAAAAAGGAAAGGATAAATTGATCTCTGCTTGAAATCCCTGAAGAAAATCACTAATCAGGAGATATAGTGATAAGGAAACTTTAAATAAAGGAAAATAGAAACAGGTTCCAAGATTTAGAATCCTTTATTCCAGGTTTCAAGATAATCTTAAGCACTTAGAAAACAGAGCCTAAAGCTTTGTAATCCAGGTCCTCAACTTTCAGTAGTAGTAGCTGTATTTGGCCATTTCAGCTGCTTTTAATACACATGTTAATCTTGATTCTCCTGTGTTTTGGGGTTCACTCTTCTCTGTTTCTTTCTGGTGCCACAGGAATGCCCACTCTCATGGCAACCAGTACAGCACGATCATGCAGCAGCCGTCCTTGCTGACTAACCATGTGACGTTGGCCACTGCTCAGCCCCTGAATGTTGGTGTTGCCCATGTTGTTAGGCAACAACAGTCTGGTTCCCTTCCTTCAAAGAAGAATAAGCAGTCTGCTCCAGTCTCATCTAAGTAAGTCTGTCTTACAGTGATAGTTAAAACTATGCACTTGGAAGGGAGCTCTGGTGGCCTACTAGCAAGAAGCTACACTACAATCCCAAAGACGCGTGGTTTGAATCCACCAAAGAGGGGCAATCTCCTCCTTGCCAGTTGGATCCGATTTCACAGTACACAACAAGGGAAAAAAAAAAGAAATAAAACTCTATCACTTGGAAAGTTTTGCTGCCTGATATATATTTAGAGGATTGTGTGCTGTGGAGTTGGACCATCCCCATAGCAGACCCTCCAGTGGATTCTCAGAGGCTGTAAATCACACAAAAGTAGACGGTCCAGCCCTCCTGTAGAGCATCTGGTGTATTTCAACTGCCTGCCTTTGAGTTGGCAGTGCAACTCCTTAATCACTAGGTCATCATACATTTTTGGTATGAGGCAGCAAGAAATTGACAAATTAAGAGAGCTAATTTTTTTTCCATCAGGGCATGCAAGCACGTGTGTCCTGGATGACCATAATCTTCCTATCCTTTTGATGCTGTTTTTATTTTTCTACTTCCTTTACACAGTGAAATTTGATACTGACTGCATGTAGAAATAAAATTTATTTTGTATATTTGTGCTTATGTGCTATAGAAACCCTAACCAGGATGGTTAGTTTAATTTTCACTGGAATTTTTACAGTTAGATACATTAATTTGATGAGAAAATTAGAAAAGGAAAAAAGGAAAGCATTCTGGGGAAGGGAAGCACAGTTTTGGAGAGAGCAAACACTTAGCAGTCTGTCTTGGTGACCCTTTCCTCCAGGCCTTCTTTGGATGTTCTGCCTTCTCAAGTCTATTCTCTGGTTGGAAGCAGTCCCCTTCGCACCACATCTTCGTACAATTCTCTAGTTCCTGTTCAAGATCAGCATCAGCCGATCATCATTCCAGATACTCCCAGCCCTCCTGTGAGTGTCATCACTATCCGCAGTGACACTGATGAAGAAGAGGACAATAAGTACAAGCCCAATAGGTAAGACAAGAGGACTAGCTCCCCAGCTCTGAAGCTTGTACCCTTGGTTTTACACCGCTAACTTCAGGCCCCTGGCCCAGTTTTGACTATTAAGGTTAAAAGGTCATATTTTAAAAGAAGAGGTATTTTGAGTTTGGGTGAGTGTCTTTAATGGATCATCCAACAGTTTATTATTATAATAATAATAACAACAACAATAGTAACAGCAATAATAATTAATAATAAATATATTTATCAATTAAATCAATCTTACTGAAGCATTAAATAACAGGTTAGGTTAACTTGACAGGCTAATTTTGCTTGGAATGCACATTATGCTAAGACACAATTTCTGCTTTCAAGAAATACAATCTGAAAACAGATGCCACAACAGAAGCAAATAAGCAATAGTTAATTAGAATGAGTATATAGGAAAAACAGATTATTTGAAACTCCTAAGTTCCAGAATGCAATTGCTTAATCTGAGAAGGCCTCTTTGGAAGAAGTTGAACTTCAACAGGCTAGCTTCATTCTTCTCCTCTGTTGTATGATCTGAAATGCTTGAGAAATACAGTGCTAGATTACTAGTGTATTAAAAAATTAAAAAAACAACAACAATAAACTATTAGGAGAGTGGAATCTTCATTAATGAAAGCTTTTTTAAAGAGGGAGAAGTTTGATCTGGTAAGGAACTGTATAGTCTTAAAACAATATTTCAGTATGATACACCGCCAGCTTAAATAATATAATCAGTGCCGCTTGACTGTACATGTAGAGACGTGAATTGGTAGTGTTTTGGTGTGTATTTTTATCTGTAACAAAAGTAAAACATAAAAATGGTAATAATTGTGCATGAGAATAGCTCAGAGGCAGCATAGAGCCGTGGACTCTGGAGCCATTGAGAAAATTCCTTAACCTTCCTAGGCCTCAGTTTGCTCATCTGCAAAATGGGCATAGTAGAAACTGTTTTATAGGATTGTTGCAAGGATTCAGTGAGATGCACCTAGAATGAAAGAGGGGCTGATCTGTAATAAGCACTTGGAATTTTGCTGCTGCTGTTATTGTAGTTACTGTCAGCATCATTTTCATCATTATCACAGAAGAGTGGAGATTATCTAAGAAATATTACTGAATGAAAGTTGAATTTTCTTCTTCTTAGCTCTGCCCTGAAGCCGAGGTCCAATGTCATCAGTTACGTCACTGTCAATGATTCTCCAGACTCTGACTCTTCTTTGAGCAGCCCATATTCCACTGATACCCTGAATGTACTCCGGGGCAATAGTGGACCTCTCCTGGAGGGGCCTGGCAGAGTCGTGGCAGATGGCACAGGCACCCGCACCATCATTGTGCCTCCTCTGAAAGCCCAGCTTGGTGACTGCACTGTAGCATCGCAGGCCTCAGGTGAGTTTATCTTCTTCCTAAGGAGATGTAATTCGTCTTTGAGTGTTTATGCTTAATATGCTACAGTCTGATTTAAATTGTTATACCAGTCGTGTTGAGACTAGTGGAATAGTCTTAAAAAATACTTAACTTAAAAATCAGTCCTGGGCAGTATGAAATTATTTTTTGGCCATCAGTTTGTCATTTTACTTTTTATTTACTTGGATTAATAAAAAAATGAGCTTGTGGTTACAGCAATGCAGTCATTGTTGGTGGTGGAAGGTTTACAAGACTATTCTTTATGGCCTTTAGATTTATGATTACTAGGCAATGAGATTTGCCACAAGTAATTTGAGAACACAGACTTTGGACAGGAATAAGTAATATTCAAAATAACTGCAAACATTTTCTGGCAAATAATATATACTTCAGACGTTTTCTCATTGAATGACAGCTGGAGGGTCTGTTGACTTTATTATAAAGTTGATTACATAATTTTTTTTTCCTTTTGGATGCTGGGCTTATGTTCCCTAGGTCAGTTAGTGTATTGCTGAATAATACTTGCTGCAGTAGTACAACTTTGCTCTCACTCACATCAGTGGACATGCTTCTGGTTGGGAGGCCTGTGGTGAGTTAAGGATCATCTTGTGCCTTAGTCATATCCTGAAGCCTTGGGATTCTCTGTATTCAATCAGAAGGAGAAAAGTCAGAAAGTTCAGAAAAGGCATATAATACATACTTCTTAACCTCTTTAGCGAAAACTACTCATGTATCTTATTTGTGTTTGTGTTCTCAGTACAACCTTTACCCACAAGAGATTAGATAGTATTTACTAAATGAATTTTTTGAAGTGCCCCTTTGGAGTTTAAGGAACCCTAATGGTACAGTGGTTAAAGAGCACAGCTGCTAACCAGAAGATCAGCAGTTCAACCCTATGAGCCACACCATGGGAAAAGGATGTGGCAGCCTACCCCTCATAACTTTCTGGGCACTTGTACTCTGACCTAGAGAGTTATTTTGAGTCGGGATATCCTCGACAGCAGTGGGTTTTATAAAGCTTTATAATTTTATAAGTTAGTAATGAAATAAATGATAGAGCCTCTACCGGTACAGATGTAATTGAGGAAATAAGATACATATGAGATGCCTTGCAGAGCATATACAGATGTGACCAAATGTGCCATCCAAGGTTTGGCTTGGTGCTTGTGAGCAGATAACGACTTGTAACTTCTCATGACTTACTCTTTTTTAGGTCTTCTGAGCAGTAAGACCAAGCCAGTGGCCTCAGTGAGTGGGCAGTCGTCAGGATGCTCTGTCACTCCCACAGGGTACCGAGCTCAGCGCGGGGGCACCAGCGCAGCACAGCCACTCAACCTTAGCCAGGTAAGCGTGAGGGGCTGCCGCCTTCTGTTTAGGGTTCCCTCTGTGGTTACTCTCTGGAGAAACCCTGCTCTGGATGGACTCCTGAATAAAGCCAACTGAAGCCCTTTTTGTGTCAGTTTGGTATTGTGTGACCTCTATTGTATGTGTACATGCTGTGTCCTTGTTTCCTCTATAAGTGGGTTTGGGGTGTGTACTCCAGGTTTTCCATTAGACCTGCCTAGTCAGTCTTGGAAGGTGAGAGAAATGTCTGGAATTTAGAAGAGCTTAGGATGTTTAGTCAGTGCCTGGCTCTGCCCCACCACTTGCTTTACTACATTGAGACCAGATTCTTATGTTTTATCTCCCAGGTCATGAAAGGCCTGAACCTCCCACTGTTTACCTGAGTCAAGAAATAGTGAAAACTGTTGTGGCCATTTAATCAACTGGTCTAGTTGATGACCTGCTGTTGCTAGAAGCTGGGCTTTGTAATGTCCCCCCCAACCCCCGCTCCGCTTTATTCTCTGATGGTAGTGTAAGTGAGGGCCATTCCCTTCTATTGGTGTTGATTTCTTCCTCAATTAAAATGGTGGTGATTATATGATCTACTAGTAGTATGAAAGGGTAGATACCTAGATGTGACTGTGTGTGTGACGAGAGAGAGCAAGAAAAGTTAGAAAAAAATTTCACTGATGCCAGAATAGACTGCATTGAATCAATAGTTATAAACTTGAAAGACTGAGTAACCCAGTGAACTCTTGATTTCTCCTTTGCCTGTCATATTTAAGAGTAAACTGCTGTTTGGGTTGGATCTGTTCAGCCAAGAGGCAGAAGGATGGGTAAGCCTGCTGACTTTTGACAGCTCTGCCAGGTGGGGAATTACTGTGCTGTAGCAGCCCAGAAAGAGGGAAGTTCAGAAACTCAGTTCTCAACACTATCTTCCATGCCCTGAACTCAAATGACCTCAAGATTCCTCACTCCCTTCTTCTTCTTCTAGAACCAGAACCAGAACCAGCAGTCTTCGTCAGCTCCAACCTCACAAGAGAGAAGCAGCAATCCTGCTCCCCGCAGGCAGCAGGCGTTTGTGGCCCCGCTCTCCCAAGCTCCCTACGCCTTCCAGCATGGCAGCCCATTACACTCAACGGGGCACCCACACCTGGCCCCGGCCCCTGCTCACCTGCCAAGCCAGCCTCACCTGTATACGTATGCCGCTCCCACCTCTGCAGCCGCATTGGGCTCCACCAGCTCTATTGCTCATCTTTTCTCCCCTCAAGGTTCTTCAAGGCATGCTGCAGCCTATACCACTCACCCTAGCACTCTGGTACACCAGGTGCCTGTCAGTGTTGGGCCCAGTCTCCTCACTTCTGCCAGCGTGGCCCCTGCTCAATACCAACACCAGTTTGCCACTCAGTCTTACATTGGATCTTCCCGAGGCTCAACAATTTACACTGGATACCCGCTGAGTCCTACCAAAATCAGCCAGTATTCCTACTTGTAGTTGATGAGCTTGAGGGAGGAGGGCCGTGGCTGCCTGTACCTGGCCCTGAGCTCCTAATAATGCTCTCTGGTGAGCTCCTTCCTTACACTCTCAGCCAGCATCTTGTTCTGCAGGGGCCCACTGAAGCAGAAGGTTTTTCTCTGGGAAACCTGTCTCAGTGTTGGCTGCATTGTTGTAGTCTCTCGTCTGCCCTGTTTTTTAATTCTTTCCTTTTGTGACAGCGTTCTTGGTGTTCGGAGGAGTTCACATGCCCATCTTCTGCCTAGTCACCACTGGAGAGAGATCTTTCTGAAGTACCCTTTGAAAAATATTTTCCTCTCCAGCTTGATTTTTATAAATGCTTTAAAAAAAATAAAAAAGAGTGAAACCCTTCTTTATTTGACTTTGTTCTATTGCAATTGCTAGGCAGAAGCAAGAAGCTGACAGAAAGACTTGGAACATGGTAACAAGTGAGAAAAGAAAAATCATTACTTTTTTGTTTTTGAAAAAACAGACTTCTTTTCCTATTTAATTTCCAAAGCACTGGTACATGCCAGCTATTTTGCCATCAGACATTCTCCTTAAAATTTTATGGGGCTCTTTGTGGGACATTTAAACTTAGGGTATCTTAGGTTTTGTTTTTTTTTTACATCTCATTATATTTAATGGATTTTTTTCTTCTTCTTACCCACAACTGGTTACATGTTACTTTGGGTTGCAGTGGATTTCTCTCATTTGCGCCTGTGTTAATAGTCTCATGTTCAGGCAGCTCACCATTTGGTGACAACTTAGTGTGAGATAGTCTGTGTGTTAAAAGTACCATGTATTGTTTTTAAGTGTTTGCTCTCCCTCATGCAGCTTAAATTTTGTTATTAGAAAAGCCATTAAATTAAGATAGTTATTATATGCAAAGTCTCTTGGTATTATGATCTATTGGCATTGAAAAGCTTTGCCTAAAGATTGTTGGCATTGGTGAGCTTTGCCTAAATATTAGTGTGGATTTTTAGTAATACACCTTTGCCTCATCTCTCCATTCTGTTTTATGTGATTTATTTAGGAAAAAGCTAAAGACTCTGAAACTCAATAAGAACATTGTTATGTGTATAGCTTTTATACTTTAAAGTAGCTTCCTTTGTATGCCAGCAGCAAACTGAATGCTCTCTTATTATGACTTATACAATAAGTGCATGTAGGAATTGCAAAAAATATTTTAAAAATTTATTACTGAATTTAAAAATATTTTAGAAGTTTTGTAATGGTGGTGTTTTAATATTTTGCATAATTAAATATGTACATATTGATTAGAATATATAACAAGCAATTTTTCCTGCTAACCCCAAATGTTCTTTGTAATCAAAATGTGTAGTGATTACACTTGAATTGTGTAGTTAGTGTGTATCTGATCCTCCAGTGTTACCCTGGAGATAGAATTGATATCTCCATTGTATTTAAACCAAAATGAACTGATACTTGTTGGAATGTATGTGAACTAATTGCAATTATATTAGAACATATTACTGTAGTGCTGAATGAGCAGGGCCATTGCCTGCAAGGAGAGGAGACCCTTGGAACTGTTTTGCACAGGTGTGTCTGGTGAGGAGTTTGTTCAGTGTGTGTCTCTTTCTTCCCCCTCTCCCTCCTTCCTTATTGTAGTGCCTTATATGATAATGTAGTGGTTAATAGAGTTTACAGTGAGCTTGCCTTAGGATGGACCAGCAAGCCCCCGTGGACCCTAAGCCGTTCACTGGGATTTATATCAGAACAGAATTAGTAGCTGTGTTGTGTAAATGCATTGTTCTCAGTTTCCCTGCCAACAATGAAAAATTAAAACACAACTTTTCTTCTTTACGGCCGCTTCTACCCTTCCCATTTTGGAATCTCAGCTGAGTTCTTTCAGAAGCGTTTCCCCCAAATGGCTCTCTCACTATGTACCTTGCTTCTGTGGGGATTCAGGAAGCAGGTGAGAGAACAGTCAGGCCAATAATAAATAAGCATTTTTTTTTCCAAGCATGTGCAATCACTTTTAGAGTGGCATTTTATTTTTCTTTTCTTATCCATGTGGCAGTCCTTCCTGCAAATAGTTGACATTCCTAGTAAAATATTATTGTGGAAATAACATGTAACAGATGTGTTGATACCAAAGAGCCTGTTGTATTGCCTACTGTGTCCCCATCCTATGAGGAGGAGTTTGTGATGCCGCTGGTAGCAAGGAACTCACAGGAAGGTTTCTTAGTGAGTGAAGAATATAGGAAGAAACCAAAGCCTGTTGAGTCATTGGGGCTTTTAAGGGTTTCTTTTTAACAACTTGCATTCTTGGGGCCCTTCAAGCTGTGAAATTGCCCTTGTACTCTCAGCTCCTGCATGGATCTGGATTAAGGAGAGAGTACTGAGGGCAGAAACATTCCTGCCTGTTAAAAGATTTTTGGAAAGAAGGTTAACCCTGAGATACAAATGTGTTCCATCTGAATTGAAGATGTGATATTTGGGGGATAATTTCAGGACTGGTTCTGTGTAGAGATGGTGTCAAGGAGGTGCAGGATGGAGATGGGAGTTTTCATGAAGCCCAGTCAGCAAGCTTGGACTGGGTCAAACACCGAGGAGCTGTCAAGGTATTGGGAGTTTCTTCATTGTAAGAAGTAAGGGCTTCCAAGATGGGACAGGTAGTCAGTACAGCCTACCAGGAACATGTCGGTGTTTTCTGCATCTTTAGTCATCATACTTGTGTTTCCAGCCCTTTATGGGTCAGGATAGCTAAGCAGTTTGTATAGTTTCTGTCACTAGTGTTAAACAGTTTTCTGGACACTGTATGATCTTTGTGTCTCCTTTTTTTTTGCCAAGCACATTCTCATTTTCTTGCTCAAACACAGGTCAAGTTTCTGATGGAAACTTTTCTTATTTTCTTCTCTAAGGGACAAAGATCTGTTGTTTTTGTAAGAAAAGCAATGTAGGGGACCTGCGAGGGAACAGTGTCTCCTTGGGCCCCAGTCCAATACATAGATAACCATTTTAAAGTAGGACTCTTAACTCTCTAGAAAAGACAATATACCAAGAGCGTATATTGTTATTGTTACCATAATCACATTACTAGCAGTGTGTGGCTTCAAGAATTTTAGAGATTTTTTTTGGTCTTATTCTGCAAATTGGCATTTTAGATTTACCAAGATAAAAAAAACAAAAACAAAAAAACCACAACAACTCTGCTGAAGGTGTTTATGTGTTTGGTGTGACTTTAGATTTTGACCCTGGGGCCTGACATTGGCAGCCTAATCCTGGTGAGTGAAGCCCTGTGAATTTAGTGAGCAGCTGGCCAGGGTCACGGTAGCCTGACCTCCAACTAGCTTAAGGAGGTTTTAGGCTTTAAGTCCTCTCTAAGAACTTAAATTTCCAGGTTCTCCCTTCAGCGTAAGAGAGGAAGCAGGGAAGGGTTCAGTGTAGCTTTGGTAGGCTCATCAATACACATATTCACTCCAGACTTTCTAATAATTCCCAGGAGATACTACTACCCCAGGACTATGAATTCCAACAGCTCTGGCCATTCTGAGCTGGCTAATCTGAGCTTGCTCATCTATTGTCCTCTGCTAGAGGGGCTAATATTGGCTGCCCTTAGCCAGTGAACACAGCCATGTATGTTTTATTCAGCATTATTATGCAAAAACCTACTGGTTAGCATAGTTTGTTTTCGGACAGGAAATGCAGTTGCCTCTCATTGACAGAAATGGCCTGAGCCTGCTTCCTATTTTTTTTTTTAACTGATGGATGGTGCAGCATGTCTACATGGTTGTTTGTTGTTAAACTTTATATAATATGTGGTTTCAATTCAGCTCGAAAAATAATCTCACTACATGTAGCAGTACATTATATGTACATTATATGTAATGTTAGTAATTCTGCTTTGAATCCTTGATATTGCAATGGAATTCCTACTTTACTAAATGTATTTGATATGCTAGTTATTGTGTGCGATTTAAACTCCCCCTCCCTCCTTTTTTTTTCTTTCTCCCTTTCCTGGTTGTATGCTTTTACAGCAAGCCTCTAGAAACAGATAGTTTCTGAGAATTATTGAGCTATGTTTGTAATGCAGATGTACTTAGGGAGTATGTAAAATAATCATTTTAACAAAAGAAATAGATATTTAAAATTTAATACTAACTATGGGAAAAGGGTCCATTGTGTAAAACATAGTTTATCTTTGGATTCAATGTTTGTCTTTGGTTTTACAAAGTAGCTTGTATTTTCAGTATTTTCTACATAATATGGTAAAATGTAGAGCAATTGCAATGCATCAATAAAATGGGTAAATTTTCTGATTTGCATGGGCTTTTTTTTTTGAACTTACGTGGTAGGGGAATAAAGGGAATCAACATGACATCTTTGGAAATGGCAAAATGTATTGCATCTGAAGATCAATAGAGTATTAAGACAAATTCATTCTTTATATAAATCTCTCCAGTGAAAATGAATGGGAGTTGGTAGGGGACACATTCCAAGAATGGAGTTTCCAGTGATCTGGTTATGGCCCTAGAAGGAGGCAGAAGACTTCTGAAAAAGTTAATTACACATTATTTCCAAAAGAAAAATGTCAGCAGTCAGACGTTTTTGGAATCACAGAAGCCAAGAAAGCTTAAGATACAAGCTGTCAGATCATGGGCTGGACAATGGAAGATATTTTCTGAAGAGACTTGGCAGATGGGAAGGGTTATCCTGGTTGAGGGTGGAACTGGGAAGTAAGTGGGTCAAGGCTCTGGGCTAAGGGTGGGGTCAACACTGTAA